CCCCTCCTCCAGGAAGCCTGCTCAGATCCCAGCACACCATGGGACCCTCCGACTTCCCCAGCTCTTGACTGGCCTCTCTAGGAGAGGTCACCCCTGCCTCGCTTCTTGTTCCTTTCCACCCCTCCCTCTGGCCCTTCCTCCTTCACCTTGTTCTAACAGGGACCTGCCATTCTTCCCCACTTTGCTGTGTTTTCTGGCTGTTGTTTTCCTGCCTGTGCTGTCTGTCCCTCAGCTCTAAACCTTTGCTCGCCCTGGTCCTTCCTCTGCAGTGTCCTTTTCCCATGACATCATGGCAACTTCATTGTCACCTCTCAAGGCTGTGAGCACTCACTGTCCCCCACACCCATCCACACACATCGGCAGACTCTGAAAAGTACTTAGCCATGTCCCTGCCCATCAGGCTGGCCCTTTTCTACCTTGGGTCTGACGTCCATCTCCCCAGAGGAGGGACCTGTCCTCTGCCTTATCTGTGGGTCCCAGAGCCAGCGAGGGGCTGAGCCAGGGCCTGCAGGGTTTGGGGCTTGGGGGGCAGCAATGAAAGCTGCCTTTGCTGGCACTCATCATGTACCAGGCGCTGTGCTGGGCACTTCACTACAGGCCTCATAGCACCCTCAGCACCCAGAGGGCAGAGCCTGGGGTCAAGCCTGTTCCCAAGGAGGAAATAGACCCCCCTGCCCAGGCTTCCTCGGCCCTGGGCTCCCACCGGGCCCTGCCTGGAGCCAGAGTCCGAGCCTGGAGCCAGGGCTGAGCGCCAGCCCCGCCTTGTCTTGCAGTGGAGCTCGACCGCGCCCTGGGCCACCAGGAGCCCCACTGGAAGGAGTTCCGCTTCGACCTGACCCAGATCCCGGCCGGGGAGGCGGTCACAGCCGCCGAGTTCCGGATTTACAAGCTGCCGAGCACCCGTCTGCTCAACAGGACCCTCCATGTCAGCATGTTCGAAGTGGTCAGGGAGCAGGCCAACAGGTGCCTGCCCTGCGCCCCAGCTCCGGTCAAGCCTGTTGGTGTGTCCGGCCCAGCCCTCAGGGGCACATTTCCCAGAGGACAGAAGGGGAGCTTCCTGGGAGCACACCCCCAGAGATGAGGGATGCTTGGCCTGAGGCCCCGGCACCCTGGGGAGAGGCCCAGTGTCAGTCGTGGCTTCAAGTCCCTGCCCTGCCATCCTGGCTGTGGAACCTGCAACGGGCCATTGAGCTCCCGGCCTATTTCCCCATCTGTCCACGGCACAGTAACACCTCTCTACGGTAGATACAGTGAGATGAGGCACCCAAGGCGCCCAGCCCAGAGCCGGGGGGTCGACGCCCCACTCAGAGTCCCCCAGGCGGGCACTGGAAACATGGAGGCAGCTGTGCCAGCCCTCAGTTAATTGTTCTTTCGTGTCCACAGGGAGTCTGACTTGTTCTTTTTGGATCTTCAGACGCTCCGAGCTGGGGACGAGGGCTGGCTGGTGTTGGACGTGACAGCAGCCAGTGACCGCTGGTTGCTGAACCCCCCTCGACTGAAGGCCACTCCTTTCTCAGCTGTGCCACTGGGGTGATAACGTCCCTCCCAAACTCCAGGGCTCAGAGGGTAAAGAGGGTGAGGTCCCGTCCCCATCAGGCAGCTGGAGGCCCCAGGCAGCAGTGGTTTGCTTCGTCTCCTGCAGAACCAGCATTGGAGTTGCTAAGGGAGTGAGTCCATGTTCTCTCCCCAAGAAATAGGTGATTCTTTCTATGGAGGAGCCTTCTCGTTGGAAGTTTCCGTACTGGGTGGGGCACAAGGGCAGTTGGTTGCACCCTTAGGCTCTGATCAGGGAGGCCTAGGTTTGAGTCCCGGCTCTTCAGCTTTCTAATAACTCTGTAACCTTGGCAAGTTACTTACATTTCCAAGACTCCGTTTTCCCAT